TGGTTAACGAGAGAAAAAACAGTGGAAACTGTCTTGGTTCTACCATGAAGGATAAGGAAGATGCTAAGACTAAACTCTTTCGAAAAATTCGTTAAATTGTCCATATTTATGTTGTTTGTTGTTACACTAGCAGATAACATATTAGCAAGGGTAATCACCATGACATCGAAAAATTTTTAAGTATATTAATGTATAACCCAACCTAAAACGCCCAACTTTTGATTTCATATGATAAACTATTGCTGTATAGAGCAAATCCTAATTACCTCACGGTTGAGGGCGTACTAAGTTAGCGTTTTATTGAGGCTACTTGAGCGGAACCTAGTAACCACTTGCCTGAATTGACAATAACTATCGTGCTGAGTTCAAGAATTATTACCGAGGAACATGTCTTTCATACATCTCCGATGGACAAAATTTAATTTCATCAGTGTTCCTCCTAAAGCTATACTATAGATTTTGCGATAGATCGCAGCCACTTCAACGAGTCTCTGTTCTGCTAACAATCTTAAAACTCATATCTATTCAATATATGCTATTATAATTCTACTTAAATTATATTGCATCAAAACTTTATGCAAAATTTAGTGGAAAGATCCTTCACAGCTACATATGTATGTTTGTATGTATGCGGATGTATGTAAATATATGGAAAGAGTCACAGTTCATTATTGAACTTGTAAATAAGATAAGTGAAAGCAATGAAATAATTAAGATTTTCCTGTCGTATAAATATTTACTAATACAGCCAAAGGCGCCAGCACACACAAATGCGCTCAAATGAAGCCAACTTATGTTGCTCGATGTATATTGAATAGCAAACATTGCCGAAGCATTAAATCTGATGAAAGTGGCAAGAAATTTTAACGATTCAATAGGCGATGAAGCGGATGAGAGGAGACAAGGTGCAGCGAAGTGAATGGCAGCAGTTACGCCTATCAAATGCCTATTAAGGTAAACAAGCTCATATGTTGGAAGGAAATGCCGAGAGCGGAGGCTGAGGCGCTGAGGCGTGTTGCTATTGCTAATGCTGATGCCGATGCTGTTGTTGATGTTGCTCGTGTTGACCCTAAATAAACATGCTGATCTGCTCAAGAATGAAATGCGCCTGCAATCAGCACAGATACACATAAAGTTCAGGGAGTCAACGTCAGGACGTTAAGAGAGCTGTGCGGCGGAACGAAAACGTGTTACATATACATCTGAAATGCTGCACGACCCCAATTACCCTCGATTTTATTGCAGGCAAAAGATAACAGCTACGACGGTAGTTCAGACAAGCGGAGTTAGCGGCGGTCGCTGGAAAATACGAGAAATTGGGTGATATAGAGGAAAAGCTGGGAGCGGCGGCACGAAATGAGGCCTACAAACTAGGCTGAGCAAACTGAGTAACAACTGCTTGGCTATGTGTTTGTGAGTGCGCTTATAAACTAGGTAATTCCTACATGTATAGTATACATTCAGGCTGTAAGTTAGCTGCAGCAAAAGCAATATGGCAGCAAGGCGTTCGGCCATGCTGCAATGAATTCCACAGCCCAGAGGCGGCAAACCATACTAACGTAGGGCAGAATGATTCAAAATAGGCTCAGCAATAAATGTGTGCTAAGAAAAAAGCAGTTTGCATTAAATGAACATACTTTTAGGCGTTGGTACGAAATTTGTCACCTAACCGTCTTCATATGCATTTGTAGAGCGTTGCTTGCAACAAGGCAAGTAAAACGTCAGCTAGTCGGTCGACCGTGCTGAGACTGCAACCCTCTATATCGTACGCTAACATGCTGTAACTAAAAGTATGCAACACTGTGTACACAAATGCATTTTCCGCCGTAATGCAATGTAGCGCATGGCGTTAGGGCGGCTCCCTAAAAGCAAATAATACGCGCCACCACTTGATAATATATACGTACATGCAAAAATACAAACACGCATACAAGTGCAAACATTGTAATGCATACGCCTTAATGTATGCCGACAAAGTGTATGAGTAAGTGTAAGCGATTGGAAAGCACAGTCGTGTGCCAACTGGAAGCCGAAGCCATGATAAGTGTACTATCGTGCCGCAATCGCATGTGCGGCATCTAGAAATTAACCACCATTTGCGCCTAAAAGTAGGCATATGCACTTGCAATTTACGATGATTTATCGTAAACCTCCTGGACAATGGCCGTTTACACCGACGGCAATTGCAAGAGCGCTGCATAGATAACTGCATCGCAATGTCATTGCAACAATTCACTGTCATAACTGAAATGCGCCTGGAAATATGCTATGCATCGATTGGTTTCAGTTTAGCGCACTTGAATGCCGAAAACAAGCGTCTCATTGGTCAACACAGAGTTTAGGGGAGCTTTTTGTGTGTTTCCTGCGCATGTTAAACACAGCGGGGAGGGAATAGATGAGAGAGCGTGAGAGCGAGAGTGCATAGTGGTATTACCAGCAGCTGTTCGAGAGGAAGTGGCCGAGGTAGTGACATGTGTGGCTATCATAGCGTTGCACAAAGCTATAGCTGTGCATATATCTGTTGCTGTCGCTCCAGTTTGATTTTGTTAGTGGGTTAAGTGGGCGCCTAAAAGCTGTCTACCATATGATAGAAGTGTGCTTGTTTGTTTGTGGCAGGTGGGTAAGCATTAAGTTGGTGTGGCGCTCAAATGGAGTTGTTTGTATTGGAGATGTGTAATCAACTGTGAGTTGGAAGTAGCGTGAGTGGGGGAATGATAAAGAAAGAGTAGCTCTTGAATGAGTTAGTGCGAGCAAGTGAGTGCGCTAATGTTTGCTTACACACTATATTCATAGTGTTAAATAGTGGTGGCGCGGAGTTGGAGTCACAGAGTCATTGGTGGTGACATTGATTGCTTTCATAGGAGCTGCGAATCGGTATCAATAAGACAGTGAAAACCAGTGCAGGTGCAAAAATGCTAACAAACTATGTGGTTTTAATAAAATTGGAAGGTAAAATTATTTCAAAATGAAAAAAGTCAATAATTTTTTTTTTTATAATTTATTTTTTAAAATTTTTATGGAATTATAATTTTATCCAAAAATTTGGTCAAAAAAATTTTCTCTTTGCAAAAAGCTCGTTCAATGTATTTGAAAAATTTTACTTATAAATATTTTTTTGTTTTAAATTAAAATAAATTTAATTTTGTGTTTTCAAAAACTAAAAATATTATTCAGAGCATTGTTATTTTTAAATTATCGCTACATCCCTTCTTACACGCGCGCTGAAGCTTTTTACCACCACCTCTGCAAAAGCTCGCAGCTTTTCCGGTGTGTAGACTTTTGTCGACGCTATAACATATGTGCAAGGGTATGTACATATGTGTTGAAGTTACTCTACTTTTATCGCTCTCACTGAGCACTATATTAACGCTCTCTCACAACGGCGAAATCCAATTGCCATCAAAAGCTTCTCGGCTCATTTGACGGTATAGAGGGAAAGAAGTACTGTTAATATTTGAATTTGATTTCAAAGTTCATCTTCACAAAGTTGTGAAATTTAAAATTAGGGGAGATCGATTTACTCTACTTAGTGCTGTTTAGAGAGTCTAACAAACTATATCTAATTCCATTTCTGCATTGGAAACTCCTAAAGCAATAGGAGGTGTATAATAAGTAAGATGCAAGATGAGAAAATATAAACACTGAATCAACTGTATTTTTTTTTTAGCTTTATAAGGTAACTAAAAAAATAGGAAACAGTTGTCAGTTGACAGCATAATATTTTAACGGCTTCGGGTTCTAAACATATCTTCGACTTTGGAATAAGGGCTCGGTGTGCAGCTTTTATTGAGTGAAAAAAAATTGGAATAGAAATTTATTTTGGAATTTGTCCGAATTGATAAATTTAGGTTTTCATTAATTTCCAAATAATTCGCTCACACATATTTTTACTTTGAATTCGCCGGCAGCAAACTTGTTGATTTTTTACAAGGCGAGTATTGTACGCGGCAAAATTCGAGGCGAATTTGATAAAACATGTTCGACCAAATGCATTTGAAGCCCTTGCTCTTGTACACGTGTAAAAAATTGAGGTATATTTTTAGCCAGATTACATAATAATAATATGAAAAAAAAAATTTTTTTTAAGTAAATTTCGCAGCTTTTAAGAGCAAAGAAGTTAGAAAAGAATCTTATTTGACGATCAAACTATTTGGATCTATAATATTTATTTAAATATCTATTAGAGTTACCTTAAAAGTATTGCATACTTTTGGGGTATTCACTCGATAATGTCTCAAAAGTTCCTGATTGTGCTCATTTCAAAAAAGTCTGGGGTGAAAATAGGTTTAACAATTTTTTTGCGATCCTAACATTATGCAAAATTTCTATGTTGTTGTTATTTTATTATAATTTTTTCTTAAAAGTATGTAATATGTTTATGTTAGCTTCTGTATTGTTTATAAACCCACTATTGCCTAACATGATAATTTTGTTTTAATAATATTTGTACTAAGCTAAATCCTTCATGCCATATTTCTATTCTTTATATCCACTGAAATTAGTTTTCTAAGCAACAACAACATTTTGGCAAATTTTTACAACTGTAGTTAGTAACACACAATCACCAAAGATTTTGGATTTCTCACTGTCAAGCCACTTCAAACCGGGCTAATATGCAACTTCGCCTCAAATCGTTTGCCGCACAATCATGTTGTTGCTGTACTAACATATTTGTTTTTGTACTTTGTTAGTTGTTTTCCTTAGCACATATCTTCGACGTTCGAAACGTTGTTGCACTGTTAGCTGGAACACTTTTTTTGTTGTTGTGGACAACAAAGCTAGTTGGCCAAAATCGTGGCGAAGGCGCTTTCCAACCATTGTTGCAGCGCTCTTGGCCATTCTTATTATAACTGCTATTATTATTATTGTTGCAATATGTGGCAGTGCTGTTGTTGTTGTTGCATATCGTGTACATCGTGCATGCCGTCGTCTATTTGGTTCGTATGCATTGTGAAGGCCGCTTCGTGTGTGTCGCTGGGCCAGCGACAACAGTTGACGGCGAAGGCATTGGGCTCGTTCGAGAGGTTCGTTCAACCGATGCACACAGCCCAGCTAAGCGGCAACACAACATCAAGCTGTGCCGGCTGGTCGTCGGTGCGGTGCGGTGTGATGTGGTGCGGGAGGGCGGTGTGATACGACACGGCCTGCCCGACCGGCTGGTTGGTTGGCTTTGGCCGATGTAGCCAAAGGAAAAAGCCATTGCGATTTTTCGGAATTGAAAGGATCAGTTTAACGCGAATTACGGCTACGAAAGGATGACACTTTCCTGTTGCAGTAGCGAGTGTCGGCGGCGAATGCAAGCGTATTAGTGATAGAGTGCCATTTGCCACACACAATAAAAATTGCAATATTTTGAATTTAACGAATTTTTTCACTGTGCCAGAATTAATAAAAAAAATTTTCAAAAAGTATTTGAAAAACTTGCTGACAATGTAAATTTATTTTTTCAATTGTGCGCAGTCAAGAAACTACGAAATACGCATTTTTTCCAGTTTCTCGATCCGGACCTTGCACAACGTAAAATATCGCGTGTGTGGCAAAGTTAACGGGCGGTAGTTGCTGAGCAGAACGTTGGTATCTTATTTCTTTTGCAAGTTTGAACAAATATGCATCAATTGTGGAGGAAAACTAAACTAATTTAAACATTCAGCATATAATTGGTAATATCGGCTGCAATTTCAGCAATAATTTCCGTGTAATTTATAATATGTAGCATACTTTTGCGCTCAAGGTATGTGTGAAGCATGGAAATTGCTTGCCAAATCATAAAAGTAATAAAAGTTACAAATTTTATATTAATTGAAGCGTTTTGTAGAAGAAAAATCAAACAAACTCTAAACTAAAGCATACCTTTAGGCACGTTATTAAAGTTATATTCGCGTTTTAATGAAAACTATGTAAACATTGATCTTATATTAGTTTTGATTGCTGAACGATTTGTAAAAATATACTTTTCAACTATAATTGCATACTTTTGCGCGCAAAAACATTATATTTGGCTGCAATTTCTAATAAGATACTTATGCTTCAGCTGAAGTCTTTAGTAGTGAACCATTAAATTTGAGAAATATACGACACTTCAATAATCGCGCTAAGCTGAGGCTGAATAACGGTTTAAAATAATTGCGACAAAATAAATTGTATAAATGAAAGACAGTTCGAATATCGTAGCCAAGTTTTGGGCGCAATTTCCACATGCTAAACAATTTTAGATTGCAAAGCATTAAGATAGGCATTTTTTGTGGTGTGTATTAAATATTGATCCACACATTGAACTTTACGAAATGATATAAAAAAATATACAAATTGTAATAATCTTTGCTGCATCTAACTGTTATTTTTAAACGCCCAAATCATTGCCTACTTTTTAGCATTTGACCGATAGAGGAAACGTTCTTAAAATAATGCTATATATACAAAAAGCTAAAGTGAATATTTCAAATGCTAAGCCATGTGTTTAAATAATTTAAGCAACCTAAAAGTATACTAAAATATTCAAAATTTGTAAATAACGTGAATTTTATAAACGCCACTAACAGAGCAAATACATATAAATACAAAAATAATTTAAAATATATTTGACTCGAAGCGGCGACAATACGCCTAAGAGCACGCTACACGATTAGGAATATCTAAACTGCACTTTTGGAAACAATACAATATATTTTCATATACTTGACAATGTAAACAATTAAGCATATCATTTGCTAGAATAAAACAACAACAAAAAATACCTACTAATACTTTTTGACCCAAAAAATATACACAAAAATACACTGAGAATATATCTCGCTCGCTTAAAGTTGAACGGTTGTGAACAGTACGCTAGCACACATACACACACACATAAATATATAAATACAAGCTGTGTAAATTGTGGCTAAGTTTGGAAAATACTAAAATTAAGTTGATAAAACGCTAAATATAAGCTCTTACTTACATTTCGAAAAACATATTGCATACTTTAAGGCGCACTTTATAAGTAAAATTTAATTAAAAAGTTTATGAACGGTGAAAAGTGAATGAAATAGACTGTAAAAATTTTGCAAGAATTACAAATTATTGAACTAAAATACGGTAAGCATTTGAGAATAAACACGACTTGAAATATCGTTGCCAATTTTGCCGTCGCTTTGACGCTTTGCTCTCATCGCAGCGAACAACAACGCACAACTAAGCAAGCGTTGCAAGCAAAAGTAAATTTCACTAAAAGTGACAATAAAAGCGCGGCGAAGACAAGTGACTGTTTCGCAAAAATATTTAACACGCTCACAATTTACACTCTTTGGAGAAAGCGAATTAAGAATTTTCTACAAAACGACTTTCTTGCGGCGAACTGTATGCATACAAGCGACGGAGTAAACAAGCAGCCAGCAAAGCAGATAAACAGCAGCAGACACGTGGACACAAGCAGCAAAAACAGCAACAAAGGCGGCAACAGAAATATAAAGGAACATACACAGTGGTCGTCACGGCGTATGAGTAACTTGAAATTCTTCACAAAAATCTTTCAATATAGTGAAGCTAAAAGCGAACATTTTTAGAACTCATTTGAATTGCATTAAAAATATGTAATAACTTTGATTATAAAAAGTGCTTATAACACAAAGTAAGTAGTTAAGAAAACAAAAACAAATCAGTATAATCAGTTTAATAGTGTTAAGACCTAAAAAACAAAAAAGTACTAAAATTTCAATAACTAATAGTTAATAAATAATTATAGAGAAATTGTAGTTAAATACCTACAAAAACAATAATACTGAACAGAAAAACCTGTAAACATATTAAATAGCAATAAAACGCGCCAAACTGCTGAGTAGCTATTTCACTCAAACAAACAAAAAACCAACAATAACTTTAAAGTACAGCACAAAACATATACGCAACTCAATTAAAAGTATTACATGCCATAAATCAATGCATTAAATGAACATAAAAAGCAATTGATAAGCGTCGGCAAACTGAGTAAAAAAATTGCAAAACAGTGCTTGATAAAAAAATAAAATAGTAAAGTGCAACACCATCAGCTTTTTTATGCACTTAGAGTGTGTCAAGTGTAGTGGTAAATGAAAAAATACACATTGTGCTAAATTAAAGTTTGCACAAAAAGTTGCTTAATTTTAGATGAAGCGAATTGTTTTTTTTAAATATTGGCAACGTGAGAGCACGCGATCTTTATAATAAGTGCAAAACCTTTGAAAGGTGAGTAAAAGTCATAAAATATTGTTATTTTGAATTTAATACTTTTTTGGGCATATACTACAATATTTTGGTATTAAAAAGCTCTATAAACTGTAAATGAAGCTATGCTTTAAGCTGTTATGAAAATATTTTTAAATTATTCAACTCTCTACCGATAAAAAAAAACATTTATTTTTTTGACAAAGATTGGCAAACTTCCGAACATCTTGTGTTCATGAAAAAGTCTCATATGAGCCAGTTGGGACTCTTTCAAATACTTGTGATGTTCTTTCATTTGCCAGATAAAATCAAATTTCATACCTTACGGAAGGGCAGCAGACAGTCTACCAAGCTTCTGACAAAGATCAATATACCTATATAGTGAAATGCATTATAATAAATTTATCTTACTACTGAGCGTTGTTAGCATTTTTCAACACAAATCTAAACATCTCGGCCTAGTTCTCATATCTCAACATTTTATCCACAAGATATAACACATTAAATAGTTATGTGCTCTAGAGTGGTTTTTCTAACGTCAAATTTACTGACAGGCGTCAGGCAATCTGTGAAATTGGTTGCCATTTCAGTGAGCTTTGTTAAGATATTTGACGATTTGATGTGAAAAGTGTTTACAATTGATATTTAAAATTTTTTGTTATTTTAGTAATTAATAATTTTTCTCGCTGAACTGGGAACACATGTCATTAAAATTTTTATAATGTCAATTTAATATCATAACATTTGATTTAGTGAAAACCCGTCATTAGCACGATTCGTGAGCCACCCTGTATATCTTAAATTTCTTACTAAACTTTTTAACAATGATATAAAAACCAAATTGCCAGATTTCGTTAAATTTTAAAAATCATTCTAATTTTAATTTTTTTTTACATAACACTACTCAACAAATCTGAAGAAAAAATTTGCGATTGCTGTGCTAAGAGGTCTGTGGGGGTATATGAGGTGTCCTGATCACGAATTTGAGTTCAAAAATTTTCCATCACGTACAGCTATTTCTGTCATTTAAGTAAGTGGCGACCATTCTTGATTACAATTTAAAAAAATTATACTACTTAAGAAATTTTTATTATCATTTTCAGTTTTAGCAAGCCAAAATTAGCAAGAAACAGCCTCTAACATAACACTCGCGAAATGACTGTAAACTAGTGTAATTTAAAATTTATTTATGCGAGTATTAGAAGCATTAAGAAAAGCAATATAAAGTCACGTTATATAAAATTGTATAATTTCTGTAAACTTGGGGCATAATTTTCTCAAAGCAAATAAACTCAAAGCTCAATTTCAGCAAACTTTAGTTATAGTTCTTTCAGACAATATATTTTCGAGTAAAAGTATGTATTATTAATTAATTTTAATAAAATTAATTTTGAAATAAAGAACCATCAAATTATTTAAATGGTGAAAGAAATTTTTTTCTAAAAAAAAAAATAATTTCCAAAATGTAGTCTCATATACCGTTAAAAAAATTTACTTAGTTGCGCTGTCGCTAAATTTTGTATAGTTTGAAAGCTTTACCAAAGTTTTTAAAATTATGCTCAATATTTCAATTTCACTCTGATTCAGTAAATTTCTAGTATTTATTGCTTCTTGTTCAAATATTTGAGTGATTGGAAGAAATTCGGCTGGCGTAAGGTCCTTATTCTATAAATTAATTATTGCTTCAATCAATATAGTATTGTGTAATACAATATAAAAATCGCTATAAGGAAAATGAAGGAATGAAGAATTCAATTCGTTTACAACTTTAACTAGAAACATAAAAAATAGAAATAACTTTAACTTTGGTTGCAGTGAAGCTATAATATCCTTCACAAATACAAAATATTTCTACTAGAGTCTTGATCGGTCAGCTAGTATGACAGCTATATGCTAAAGTGATCCGATGTGAACGATTTCGTCAGAGATTGTACCGTTGCTTTAATTTATGCCAAGTTCGTGAAGATAACTTGTCAAATAAAAAAAGTTTTCTATACAAGTATATGATTTTGATTGTTCAGTTAGTATGGCAGCTATATGCTACAGTGCTCCATTCTAAATAATTTCTTAGGAGATTGTACCACTGCCTTAAAAAATAACTTATGGCGAATTTTGTGCAGTTATCTCGTCAAATGAAAAAGCTTTCCATACAAGCACTTGATTCCGATCGTTCAATTTGTATGGTAGCTATATGCTATAGTAGTCCGATATCGACGGTTACGACAACTGAACAGCTTCTTTGAGAGAAATGAACGTGCGCAAAATTTCAGATCGATATCTCAAAAACGAGGGTACAAGTTCCCATATATACAGACACACAGACGGCCATACATATGTTACTATATCGATTCAGCTCGTCAAGCTAATCATTTATATATTAATATAATAATACTTTATAGGTAGATCGTAGGTCTCCGACGTTTCTTTCGAGGTGTCGCAAGCTACGTGGCTAACTTAATATATGTACATTGTTCAAGGTATACTAATACAAAATCTTAAAATATTTCTGTTAAAAAATTATTAATTGTACTATGAATTTCATATGTTATTTGATGGTCATTTTAGAGATCTAGGAAGAATAAACATTTCTGAATTACATATATTTTAATAAAAAAAATATGTTTTTCTTTTAAATTTTATTATTTATGTGTATTAAGCTAAGATTTTTTTCTCCTTTTTTTTGCAAATATTGGCTGAATTAATCGACACCATTTTCGTATACTTAAATTTGTTAATAAATAAATGAATAAATAGTTTAAATTTCTTTTATTAACCCTCATGTTAGTAACCAACTTTACTGACGTCTTTTAGCAAACGATCTGAGTATTATTATTATTTTGTTTATTTTATTAAAAAAAAAATTTTCTAAAAAATTTCTAAAAAAATTTTTAGTGACAATTTAAAGAAAAACAAATAACAAGTAGAAAAAAAAAATGAACTCACAAATAGCTTTCTTTTAAGTTAAAAAAAGACGATTTGAGAGCTTTAAATGAATATTATATATTGAATTTTTTGTAAGCTATTCACACAAATACACCGCGGTGGATAACCGGGTACCCGGTTACTAACATAATGGTTAAAAAATATATTTTTGTTTTAAAACAACGTTCATTTTATGATTTCTGTAAAGCTAAGATTTTATTTATCTTTTTTCCTTCTAAGCATTGGCTCAATTCCTAAAGAATTAGTGCAGTCATTGGAAAAATTAATTATTTATAAAAAATTCGAAAATTATTTTAAAAAACTCTTAAAATAAACTATGAAATAAACTGAATCAAATAATTATGAGGAAAAAAGTATATATTGAATGTATACAGCAAAAAACAAAATTATTTCAATAACTCAATGCAAAATTGCGAAAATTAGGAAGATTAAGAGCTCTTCAAAAATATATGTCCGCATATAACTGTATGACTGTAAATAGATTTGGAAATGTACTGTATTGCAGAGAAAATGAAATTTGCATTTCGTGCTTTTCCTTATTTGTGCCCAAATAAAAATTTCTTGGAATTTATTTATTTCATTCTAAAACACACTCATAACGCACAAAGCATATTCAACTAAGAACTCGTTTGCGCAAATAGCAGCTCTTCAAGTGCAATTTAAACAGTTCGCCAAAGCTTCAAAAATGCATATTTTTTTGTTATTTTTAATACTTGCAACAATGTGCAACACGGCCATTTGCAATGCGGCGCATATTATATGATGCGCCACGTAAACAACGTCAGTCAGTGGAAAACAAACGGAAATATGCAGAAAATGTTTGAAAATTGTTGCAATGCTGTTTTGCATTTTCGCATTTTTTCGGCAATGATCACCATTTTTTGTTGCACCAAAATTGAGAGGCAAAGCAACTGCAGCCTCGAACGCAGCAAAACAATGCGGCAGTAATATGAAAAGAAAACTCAAACAAATGCGAGTGATAACAATTTATACGAAAAATAATAAAATGAAAGAGAAATAGAAGAAAACGTATAACTAGAAATAAGTGAAAATAAAAACCTAAAAAAATTGTTCATCAGCGTTGAGCGGCGTGTAAGCCGCCATATTGAGCCGTCGAAATTGGTGCCACAAAATCGCAACCAATGCCACCGCCACATTCACCAACGCCACCACGCTCATTTGCATCGCGGCCACGCAACGTAACTACCGTTATTCGTAAAACATTGTTAGTGTTGTTATTGCATTGCAATCGGCCACCGCTGCTCAAAATCAAATATCGATGTTTTGATTGTACTTTGTCTGATTTTTTATTTGGCCATTGAGCCATGCACATTTTTTGTATGTTTTTGTTTTTATTGTTGGTCATACTTGTTTCGTTTAGCGTTTTGGTTTTTTAACTTTTTTATGCGCCTTTTATTTGTCTCACTGTTTCGTGCGCGCTTTATTTGCGGAAATGTCCCATCTTTATTGCTTTACAGCTTCATTCGTTTATTGTGAATTCTATCTTTGTGTTTTGTTTTTTTGTTTTTGGGTTTTGTGTTTTTTAAGCCTTTGAATTGTTGGTTTAAACTTTGGCCGAAACAAGGTTGATTTTTGATTGCAAATGCGCTTTGCCGCTATTTCCTTTCGGACTTTAATTAATGATTTTTAAAGCAAGTATTGGGAATTTTATTGAACGGAATGGTGTCGAGGTCAATAAGTCTGTATTCTGAGCAAATATGTGCTGTACAACAGAGTGTTTCAGTATACATGCTATTGAAGCTTAAACTGAAATATCGAAAATTAAGACTCCTAAAGGTAGGCCATCAGATTTTAGCAGATACGGGTATATGAGTTCTTTTAGACAATAAAATTTAGTTTTCATTAGCTGTATGTACATATTAGGTGTCGACATGAAAATTTTAGCGCTGTTTCGATATGGTGGAGGCCTTATTGTTGTAGTAGCTAAATCCCTCTCTCTAATACTTCTGATAAATGCTGCTGAAGATACGCTTTTTGTCGTATATAGATTCGCTAATTTATAGTCTACGTGTACGTGTACGAAGGTGCAGCTGGATTGTTTGAGAGCTATAAAATGT